TAATTCATGTAAGTAAGCGGCTTGGCAGTCCAAACAATCTATCGTAGAATGAAATAAATTTGAAAACAATTATAATTAAGCATGCAAATAAAATTACTTGCAAAGATAGCAAACAGAACTCAACAAAACATATTATCCCCTTCTATACATGTATAGAAGAGGTTGCGCCAATTAATTTGGATCGGAGGCACTAGTATATATAGCCTTAGCTAATATAGGGTCTTAAGTGCAAAAGTGCAACTATAAGAGCGAAAGGCATAAAAGATACATCATATACATGACATAGGAATGATTTTGATATGTACTATTAACGGCTTACTCCCTCCGTCCCGGTGTATAAGTCATTCGCGTAGTTCTAGGTCGACAATTTAACTATCTAAATATGTATTATATGTGACAAAAAATATATATTTAGAAACTACATCCGTGTAGAAATCTAGTGATATACTTTTCATGACATATAGCACATATTTAATTCCTCAAATCGATGACCTAGAACTACGCGAATGATTTATACACCGAGACGGAGGTAGTAGTAGATAGGATTTGATCAGGCTTCCATCATGCAAAAAGAAACAACTAAACTGGATCTCCAGATTGCAAGATATGGCTAAAATAATATTTGAATTTGAATTTGAATTTGAATTTATCACATTTGAATAATTAAAAATGTTAAACTAATAGGTCATAAGCACTCCAAGACTAACAATTTACAGAATGTTAGAAGTTTCGTGGGATTTTCTGCAAAATAATGTGACACGTGGCAGCATCAGACTAGTTAATGTTGATTCGTGGCTAAATAAAATATATTCGTCCTATTTAAATGAAAATGGACAGACTAGATCAAAAGATACCGATTAAGGCACAAACAAAATAACAACCGTTGGATTTTAGTGCAGATCTAGGGCTAAGTTCAAACAACAATTCGGAAGAAATAAATTCTAATCTACAGAATCTATTTCTAAACAGACGAACAAAAGACAGTGGCATGACGACTCGGGTCAAATGTGGCATGGTCTCCGATGGTCGTCAGCGTCGAGGAAGTACACGTCAGGGTTAAACTTGTCGCAGTCATCACGGCAGTGTGGTCGGTGATCTGGACGGGTGTGGAGTGCTCGGCGGTGCTCTGGTGTGGTCAAGTGTGCACTGTTCAGACGATGTGGTGCTCCATGGGCAAAGACAGTATGCCAAGAGATGCAGAGGAGCGAGGCAAGAAAAGAGAGAAAGAGATGATCATAAAACTAACGGCCCTCGATGCCCATACCGTTTTGAGAAAGGAACTAGGTTGGGGGCCTAAAATGGTCGCGGTCTGTTTGGTGTGTTACTAGGCTGAAACACTGTTCTAGTCTAGTTAGTATAGAATTTCGTAACAAAATTAGTCTAGAAATTATGGCTCAAATAATAGTGTAAAATATATGTTTTTCAGAAAATACCAGAAAATTGCAAAAAATAATACTCATATAGAGCCTAGAAAAATTATTCTCAACTCGAAGTGCAATGTTGTAAATTCATTTTATTTATACAGCTAGTTTGGACCTAATAATAATTCCCTTAAATATTTGTAGAGTTTACTTAATTACCAAGATTGTATTTATCCACTCCAAATGACATCTTAACATTTTCTCACTCCTTTCATAAGGAATATAAGTAATATTATGTTCTCTTTTATTTCTTTGAGTTGAAAATAGTTTAAATTTAAATGTTCTTGAATATTCAAATACGCATTTGAATAATAAGATGCAAATTAATGCTTTTATAAACGTCCTAATAAAATTGGGATGTTATACATCGTGTGTGGTCTTTGTGGTTGTTGCTAGAAACCCATGGTGCTTTGATGCGTCATCCATATCCATTTCAAGTGTCATATCCTACACTGATCTAAACGGTCTTATATTTCTTTACAGGGAGAGTACCTTTTACGAAGTGATCTAAATGATCTTATATTTATTTATGGAGGGAGTACGTAGTTCTACATTTTCAATTCATTTCCCTGTGATTTATACATATTACTTTATATTTGGAGCTTAAATTCTTCAATTTAAGAAAAAAAAGTCTCAAATGTGAATCACTAAAAGAAAATTAATAGAACAAGCACATAAACAACAATTTTAAGAAAATGCTTGTTTGCTTGCCCTAATTCAGAGAGCATTTAAAATCTCAAATGTTAAATCAAAGGTGCATGTCCATTGACCCTGCAAGTTGAAGGCACATTCTCTAGTAGTCGAGAAGTCCATATCACCCCTTGAAATCGTTTTAGGGTTCAGATAACAATCTTGGACTTTGATTTGGTTCATTTAGGATGCGTTTGGTTGAAGGTGTCATATGAATGGGTTGGGACCGTCCAATTTATTTGGGATTGAACCATTCAATTCATGCGTTTGGCTGAATATAAGAGATGAGCTAATTATTTAGGACGGGACCACCAGTCATGCTCACATAGTCATGCATGCAAAGCGTGGCCATTTGATTCGACCGATTTGGTTGGGTGGAACGGTTCAGCATCTTCAAGGTATATTCTCTTTTTTTGACTTGAACCATTCATGTGCTTTATAACCAAACATGTCTATTTTTTGAACGATCCCAACCCATTCATGACCACCCTTGTAACCAAACGCACCCTTAACCATGTGAACTCTGAGAACCGTTCACTTGACAACCCCCTTCTCTCGGTTCTGTGCTAGTCTGCTGTGCCAAATCACATAATTTCTCTCTCCTCCCAGCTATATGCCTATGTCATCTCTTTTCTGTCTCCTTGTAATAACCAAAACTAAAAGATAGGTTTCTCTCAAGTTGTATGCTAATTTTTTGAACATATTTTTTAAACCTATTACATAAAACTTTGACAAAATTATAGTGAACGAGGAATAGTTCAGTGACCAAATGTTATTCAGATAAACTTAATATTTCAGTTTCATGTTTAAATGTTGGGTTTAAAAAAGCAAACTGCACACAAACAAACAAATAACCAATGACCGACTATTATTCAGTGAACATCTGGTCAAACAAAGAGAAAAATATTTACGCAACAAGTTGAAACATGGGACTGCATGGTAGATTAGGAGGGTAACTTGACAAAATTAGGAAGGAATATATCTACTATTTTAAAATTAAACCAAGTCAGAGTAACTTGACTAAAGGGAGAAAACCTGACCTTCTTTTCAGAGTATTATGCTGGACTTTCAGAGAAAACAACTTAGGTCTGAAAAAAGAGGGAGGTGCAGACTTCCAGATGTCATTAGTAACTTTCAATAGACTTCAATAAAACATTTATATCTAATCGCTGGAAAACGTGGTGAATCATAGACCTCTAATTTTAACTGAACTAATTTCATATACACCTAAGAGAACCACTGTATCATGCGGTCTTACAGTACTATCAAAAGCAAGTAGATTTTCTGGGCATCAAAATATTGTGAAATACAGCTGCAATCTTTGATGTCACTATAAGCTACACTTATTGTTCCATCTCGCAACAAATTCTATGTGTTCCTCAAGGTGAATAATTATATAAAAGACTTCTGCATTGACCTTTGTGTTAGTACTGTGAAACATGGCTGGTAGCACTAAATTGTCAAGCTCCTGTGGAGATGGTTCAACACTACTTAGAAACGTTAGAAATAGTAAAACTAATCAATTGATTTTGCCTTAGATGTAATAATACGCCTTTGAGGAAAATGGTTGAACTATTTCTAGGGTTTTGGGTCAGCACACAATTGCAACATTAAATGATCCATGTAGACTTGCTAATAGGTATGAATAATATCCTAAGGTGAGACTGACTTGCAATCCTGCTTGGTACATACATGCTGCGGCAAATACAAAAAATATCTCAATCAATCAAACTGATTAATAATCTCGTCACATACAAATCAGATTGAGAATACTTTTGAAAAAGATATTCAGTTGCTTCCCTGCCCCAAATTCCTACAAATTAAAGGGAACAGAAATCACCTCTGTAAATAACAACTAAATCCCGACTTGCCTGACATGCACCAAGTTCCAAAGTTTGCTTTGATGCGTTCCTGTAGACGGTAGGGCTGCATATAACCTGTTACGAACAATACTTTCCCCAGTTTTTTACATGCTTCTTCATTATTGCGTTCTTTCTGTATCAAAATGATTAATTTACAACACAAGGGGTACTTTCAAATGTCAACTTTTATTCGATATTTTATTCCTCAAGGATATGCAGGTGCATTAACATACTGCACTCTTCCAATTAGTTACTGTCATATAGTACAAATGTGTTTCATTCAAAGTAATAGCATGATATAGGCCAATTGCCCAATACTGTGATGTACCGATGATGTTTATATAACAGTATAGATGGATGATGTGGTGGTACTCAATCATTTTATAGGTTAGATTGATTACTTATTTCATTTTATATTTGTAAAAGAATTAAAAGCTTACCGATGGGTCAACTTTTTATGGATTCAGTCTCAACTTTTCAGGTAATAAGTAAAATAAAAACTGAAACCAATTGGAGGATGCAAGAACAGAAAAGTACCTGGCAAAGGAAATTGAACACCTTCCAGTGCAAGAATTATTGTTTCAAATGCACCCCTATTATTTTACAACACGAGTTCGAAAATGTGGCATTCATTCTCCCGTTTCGAATTTCATATTATGACGAAATGTTCCCATATAATCACATTAACACACTCCTGTCCCACTCTTGTCGCATTTTGCTGCTTATTCGTTACGGCAGATATCATCATTGAAGTGAGTAGCATACACTAGCCTGCACATGTAGTGTGGTAATTAAAACCTATGACAAAATTTTCGAACAGACAATTAAACACTCATATATATTGTTTAGCAACAATACCATTTGCGCTAAAAGGATAAGTATGCAACATCTTGACAAACGAAAAACATTAGCAGAGTAATACTGTTTTCCACCAAAGCTTCAGATATATTAAAATAAACTAATCCTTCATCAAACAAGTAGCAAGATATGTATGTGACTTAACACACATGCCAATGTGAAATGAAGACTATATCATGTACAGCCTAGTTGCCTTCTCCCACAGTTCCAGTAAAGCCAAAGGACAGGTTCTTTTGAGCTCATCATATCCCTGGCTTGCTATTATATCATCCACTTTACCCAAAGAGGCAATAAATTCAATGCAAGCATCAGTCAACTTGTTGCAGTGATGCTGATCAGCCAAAGGCAGTGTAGTCACCACGGTCTTCGAATCTATGTTCTTGCAAAGGATGCTTTCACATATGATCTTCAGTCTTTCCATGGCATAGCGATCCGCGGCTACAAGCAAATGTCCAATAATCTCTTTGTACTCATCTTGATCTTGGTAAAGATCATGCATGGTGGGCAACGAATCGGTGTATATAAAATGGAGCAGGGCCTCGAAGACTGCAGGTTGCATGTCGCCGATGATAACGCGACCCATATCATTTTCCCTCAAGGCACCGTACAACTCTGCCTTAAACACCGGTGACCGCATCGCGAGCACTGTCTTGTGGGCAGGAAAAGCCTCCCCTTGAACCTCGAAGGTGACATCGGTGCCCTCTTTCCCTTGCCACAGCTTCCTGAGGTGATCCGTGATGTCGGATGGCGGCAACGGCACCTCAACAAATGATTTGGGCGCTTCCGTGCAGATAGTGATGGTACACTCAATTGTGAGGCGATCGCCGCCGCGAAGGTAAGGCGACGCCTCGAGGTCGCTCTTCCTCATGAACTCGGGATGGCCGAAGCACGTCCGGTCGCCAGAGTCGAATTCTGCGGCGACCGTCCTCATCGTACGAGGCGGCGTTGATCCAGTGATGTCCACCAAACTGAGCTCGAAGGTTGCCCTCACCTTGGCCTTCTTGCTGACTAAAAAGAGATAGACCGCCACATAGCCTCCGGAATGCCCAAACACTCCTTCCTCATAGAAACGAATCTGCCAGTCGTAAGCGCCGACGGTGAATACTTCCGATGATTGTACGTCGAGGCTAACTCCGCCGTACCCTGAGACCTCGAACACGAGCGAGCCCCGCCCCGCACGTCGCGTGGACGCCGTGCATCCCATCGCCGCTTCCGTTGTCCGGTTGTCTTGCTCGTGGTCGGGGTGGTGGCCGGTGGCGGGGGAGAAGGGTTTCTTAGGGTTTCTTATTAGGGTTTTCCATTTGTATGGAGGGTGGGCCGAGAAGCGGAAGGAAAGAGGGTTGGGCCGGGAAGCGGAACGCGCTTCGCTATCCTCTCTAAAATCGGGCCCAGGAATCCGAGTCCAGCCCTGGCCGAATCAAATCGTCTCACGTCCCGTTAAAAGCCGACATCAATCGGACCTCCCAAGCACCGAAGCGCTGGCACCGACGACAAACAACTACTCCCTCTGAGTGCCAAAAACATTCCTATATTATGAAACGGAGGGAGTAGTTCCTCGGATTATCTACAATAATGCCTACTACTAGCAGTTAATACACTTGTGAATATCTAGTGATCTAAACGCTTTTATTTTAATTTACAGAGGGAGTATCATATAATCTTGGAGGAACTCTGACTTCTCATATTCAGTTTTACAGATGAGGAGCCATCAAATGCGCAAAGCACATCATCAGACCATACCCATGGGAATTCAATCTAGAAGAAGGCGAGCTCAGACGTTAAATTGGGAGACCTTCCAAATGTATGTCAAATTTCCCTTTTTCTGATATACAGTCAAGTACAGCTATAACTTGTAATCTCAAGCATCTATATTCCGTTGACGTAGGATGTGATGTGCACAATTTTGTCAAAGTTGCCTCCTAAAGAGATTTCAAGGGCCAGTGTTTTATCAAGTCACTGGAGATCTATCCGCGATGTTTCTTGCCACAAATTATGTTTCACTGGTGCTGCTGGGTGTTGCCGCGATAGTTTTTTAAGAAAAGAATATTGTGAATACATGCAGAAATTTATCAATGATGTCAATGCAGTCTTGAGAAATTTCCACGGCACGGTGGTCAAAGAATTCCATGTCAAATTCGAATTTGACATCATGCTGGCTACTCATCTCAATAACTGGGTTGATTTTGTTGTGTCATCACAGACAAAGAGCATTGTTGTCTACTTAAACCCTGTTAACAAGGCAGTTTGAGATATCTTTCGTTACATATTTCCATTTCACCTTTTGGATATTGAAAGCATATCACGTCTAAAATATATTCAACTTAGCTTTGCATCCTTCAGACCACCATTCGAATTCAATGGTTTCCCAAGCCTAAGAAAGCTTGACCTGGAATTCGTGGATATCACTAGAAAAGAGCTTCAAGTCATATTGAGGGAAGAACTAGATGGAGCATTAGCCAGGCGGTTATCATTTGGGTAAGATTTGTCCTTTGATGGGACAATAAAAATATATTTAACTCCAGATGCTTCTATGAGGTATACCAATGGGATAACCAACATGAGAGGACGCTCAGACGTACAAAGGGGATAGAACATTGCCATTAACTCAATTTGGTGTAAGGTTCAGAATTTATCTTGCTCGGCCAAGTAAAAAAACAGTTCGCGTACTTTGCTTGGCACCCTTCCATACCGTGTTTTGCTTGCCAATAGGCATTTGAAGGTGCTGCCTCAATGTCCCTCATGCTCTTAAGGATCGGATGATACAAAGCAACTGTTTTCTCGGTGTAGAAAGTGATGGAAGTTTGGAGAGTGTTGAGGCTGGTGAAGGGAAACGTGCTACGCCACAAAAAGAATACATGTATGAACATGCCTATGAACACTATGAGATTGAGTTTCAGTGCCTTAAGGCACCTGCCTTTGTGTGCATGACATGTGGGCCCAACAGATAGCTGACCCACATGTCACACACCCAAAGGTAGGTGCAGTCACGGCACCGAAGCTGCATCCAACACTATGGAGGTTATTGGTAACGATGATCTCACCAGCAATCAACACAGTGGAAGAGGAAGAAGAGTTGATGAAGCTTGCCGATTTCCACGTCTAAGTTAATTATATCCCAGCAAAGAGAATTTTCTTCGGGATGATCTGTTGATCTATTGTCGAAGAGGACGACACTTCTGAGGTACCCGCATGTACTGATCTAGCAGTACCGCAACACTTCATGGAATCAGCAAGAAGAATTGAGGGAGAACTAGATGGAGCATTAGCCAGGCGGTTATCATTTGGGTAATATTTGCCCTTTGATGGGACAATAAAATATATATTTAACTTCAGATGCTTCTATGAGGTATACCAATGGGATAACCAACATGAGAGGAAGCTCGGACGTACCAAGGGGATAGAACATTGCCATTAACTCAATTTGGTGTAAGGTTCAGAATTTATCTTGCTCGGCCAAGTAAAAAAATAGTTCGCTACTTTGCTTGGCACCCTTCCCTACCGTGTTTTGCTTGCCAATAAGCATTTGAAGGTGCTGCCTCAATGTCCCTCATGCTCTTAGGGATCGAAGGATACAAAGCAACTGTTTTCTCGGTGTAGAAAATGATGGAAGTTTGGAGAGTGTTGAGGCTGGTGAAGGGAAACGTGCTACGCCACAAAAAAGAATACATGTACGAACATGCCTATGAACACTATGGGACTGAGTTTCAGTGTCTTAAGGCACCTGCCTTTGTGTGCATGACATGTGGGCCCAACAGATGGTTAGCCCACATGTCACACACCCAAAGGTAGGTGCAGTCACGGCACCGAAGCTGCATTCGACACTCTGGAGGTTACTGATAACGATGATCTCACCAGCAATCAACACAGTCGAAGAGGAAGAAGAGTTGGTGAAGCTTGCCGATTTCCACGTCTAAGTTATTTATATCCCAGCCACGAGAATTTTCTCCGGGATGATCCGTTGATCTATTGTCGAAGAGGACGACACTTTCGAGGTACCCGCGCGTACTGATCTAGCAGTACCGCATCACTCCATGGAATCAGCAAGAAGAATTGAGGGAAGAACTAGATGGAGCATTGATGTCTACTACACAACCTTCTTCTTGTAGACGTTGTTGGGCCTGCAAGTGCACAGGTTTGTAGGACAGTAGCAAATTTCCCTCAAGTGGATGACCTAAGGTTTATCAATCCGTAGGAGGCGTAGGATGAAGATGGTCTCTCTCAAACAACCCTGCAACCAAATAACAAAGAGTCTCTTGTGTCCCCAACACACCCAATACAATGGTAAATTGTATAGGTGCACTAGTTCGGCGAAGAGATGGTGATACAAGTGCAATATGGATGGTAGATAAAGGTATTTGTAATCTGAAATAATAAAAACAGCAAGGTAACAAGTGATAAACGTGAGCGTAAACGGTATTGCAATGATAGGAAACAAGGCCTAGGGTTCACACTTTCACTAGTGCAAGTTCTCTCAACAATAATAACATAGATAGATAATATAACAAGCCCTCAACATGCAACAAAGAGTCACTCCAAAGCCACTAATAGCTGAGAACAAACGTAGAGATTATGGTAGGGTACGAAACCACCTCAAAGCTATTCTTTCGGATCAATCTATAAAAGAGTTCGTACTAGAATAACACCTTAAGACACAAATCAACCAAAACCCTAATGTCACCTAGATACTCCATTGTCACCTCAAGTATCCATGGGCATGATTATACGATATGCATCACACAATCTCAGATTCATCCAACTAACATAAAAGTACTTCAAAGAGTGCCCCAAAGTTTCTACCGGAGAGTGAAGAACGTGTGCCACCCCCTATGCATAGGTTCCCAATGTCACGAAACCCGCAAGTTGATCACCAAAACATACATCAAGTGGCACATGATATCCCATTGTCACCACAGATAATCACGGCAAGACATACATCAAGTGTTCTCATAAAAGACTCAATCCGATAAGATAACTTCAAAGGGGAAACTCAGTTCATCACAAGAGAGTAGAGGGGGAGAAACATCATAAGATCCAGCTACAATAGCAAAGCTCGGGATACATCAAGATCGTGCCATAGAGGAACACGAGAGAGAGATCAAACACATAGCTACTGGTACATGCCCTCAGCCCCGAGGGTGAACTACTCCCTCCTCGTCATGGATAGCGCCGGGATGATGAAGATGGCCACCGGTGAAGGATCCTCCCTCCGGCAGGGTGCCGGAACGGGCTCCCGGAAGGTTTTTGGTGGCTACAGAGGCTTGCGACAGTGGAACTCCCGATCTATCTTCTGTTCTGGAAGTTTTAGGGTACAAGAGCATATATGGGTGCGGGGGTACGTCAGAGGAGCTACGGGGGCCCCACGAGGTAGGGGGCGCGCCCGGGGGGGAGGGGGGCGCCCCCACCCTCGTGGGCAGCCCGTATCTCTCCTGACGTGCACTCCAAGTTCCCTGGGTTGCTTTCCTTCCAAAAATAACTTCTCCAGTTGATTTCGTTCCATTTTGACTCTGTCTGATATTCCTTTTCCTCGAAACACTGAAATAGGCATAAAACAGCAAATCTGGGCTGGACCTCCGGTTAATAGGTTAGTCCCAAAAATAATATAAAAGTGGATAATAAAGCCCAATATTGCCCAAAACGGTAGATAAAGTAGCATGGAGCAATCAAAAATTATAGATACGTTGGAGACGTATCAAGCATCCCCAAGCTTAATTCCTGCTTGTCCTCGAGTAGGTAAATGATAAAAAAGAATTTTTGATGTGGAGTGATACTTTGGCATAATTTCAATGTAAATCTTCTTAATTGTGATATGAATATTCATATCCGAAAGATTCAAGACAAAAGTTCATATTGACATAAAAATAATAATACTTCAAGCATACTAATCGAAGTAATCATGTCTTCTCAAAATAACATGGCAAAAGAAAGTTCATCCCTACAAAATCATATAGTTAGGCTATGCTTCATTTTCGTCACACAAAGATGTTCCCAACTTCTATACCCCCGATGACAAGCCAAGCAATTGTTTCATACTTAAATAATCTCAAACTTTTTCAACCTTCACGCAATACATGAGCGCGAGCCATGCCTATAGCACTATGGGTGGAATAGAATATGATGATGGGGATTGCGTGGAGAAGACAAAAAAGGAGAAAGTCTCACATTGATGAGGATAATCAACAGGCTATGGAGATGCCCATCAATTGA